CCCCAAAACCCCAAAACCCCAAAACCCCATGTTAGAAATTCATTAAAGCTATTATTATGTTGGTAAAAATAATAAGATTTTAATAAAATATAATGGGAAATTGTTTTTAAGCGAATTGCAAGTCAAGAAAATAAACTGAGGCTCGCAGGAAATAGAAAGATGTTTCTTCCAATACAAATATTTATCTTCAAAGGTTGTAGTCATAGCCCTAGCACGGAATACTTAAGAATCCCTAAAAGCAGCATTAGGCTTAAGTTATAATGAGAAGCCATACAAGTCCGAGCATAGTCTAAAAAAGAAACTTTTACGGTGGGGAATTCAACAATGAGTTACCAGTTATTCTTGAAGTTAATGAATCAAATATAGCCTCAACTGTTTATAATAGAAAGGTGTCAAACAATTAGAATGATGCCTTACAGGGTACAAATCTTCGTAGCCAGGTGTTTCAATCTTTAATTATAAGTAGAATAAGTGATTCTGACGAGGATGTAGACATCTCTTCAGAATCAGAGTTCAGTGAAGACATAGTTGATCCAGCAGAAGTTGGTCTAGAAATTCCTGACGAGAGTGAAAATTTTATTACATGTCCTCTCTGCAATTAAACTTTGGTCAATAGATAGACTGATATCTCTTTTGATGCAGTAATTTAGCCCTTTTAATAAATTTTAATAGCTTATGTTTCATCTGGAAAACTAATGTGTTGTCAGGCTTCAATAATAGCACATTACTGGAGTTTTAAATAGCAATAAAAGTATAATATATTATAACTTAACTCTCTCTTAGTTTTTCTTGATTAAGAGATGACTTGGTAGAAAAATATCTTATAAAATGGGAAAGTTAATTGGGTAAAGAAAAAAAGAAGTTAGAAGCTACAGTTAAATCCTAATCTTAAGAAACTTTCATGTGCCAAAGTAAGAAATATGCAGTTAGAAGAGAAGAAATTCTGGTTTGAGTATCAATGCGAGCAGAGAAGAATAAGTTTCATCTAAGATTCTATCACATTGGTCATTTAAAGAGACAACGTACTAAGAGATTCATTTGAGTAATTTAGAACTACAGATGATTTTGACTTGCATAAAGAAATAAAAATTCATTACATAGATGAAGTTGCCTAAGACGCAGGTGGAATCACAAGAGAGTGGGTTACTCAGCTAACTTAACAATTATTTTCCGATGATTAATAGCTATTCAAGCAAATGAAAAGTGATCATAGCTTGAATTATTTCCCAAACTAAAACGCTAAATTCCTCTATGAAAACGGCTACAAGGATTATTTCAGATTTGCAGGATAAGTATTAGCTAAGGCCTTGTTTGATAAAATTCCTGTTAATGTTTCGTTGAATTCTGCTATTCTAAAAAAGCTTGTTGCAATTAGCCCAAAAGAGCAGAAAATAACTCTTGAAGATTTAAGAGATTATGATCAACAAATATACAACTCAATAAAATTCATCTCTGACGACCCATCAATTAATTTTGATGAAGAGGAGTTTTACTTTACAATAATACAAGATGATGGATCAGAAATAGAACTTATTAAAAAGGGAAAGGAAACTCGAGTAACTGCTTAAAACAGAACTTAGTATGCTAAAAAAGTAGCAAAATATTATTTATACAAGCAGGTAAAAACAGAGATCGATGAGTTTGTGAAAGGATTCCTCTAGGTTATTCCTAATAGTATAATCTCAGTGTTTGATAAAGATGAGCTAGAATTTATTATGAATGGTTCGCCTACAATAGATATAGATGATTGGATCTAGAATTCAACATATAGGGGAGCATTTGAAAACGAAGGCAAAAATCATTAAGTAATTAGTTGGTTTTGGGATATTTTAAGAGATCTTAATTAAGAAAAGAGAAGAAAGTTCCTTCTTTTTTGTACAGGTAATCCTAGACTCCCTATTGAGGGATTTAAGTAAGCTATATTTAAATAAATTTATTTTTAGAGGACTGTAAAGTAATAGAAATAAGCAGTGTCTTTTTTCAATACAGAGTGTGCCATTCTAGAATGTATAACTTTCACTAATAAAAGCTCATACATGCTTCAATAGAATAGATCTTCCATTATTTAACAGAAAAGAGGATATAGAAAATAATATCAATGGCATTTTGGAATAAGATCATTATTATTTCGATTTTGAGTGAATCTTTACCAGCTACAATTTGTAGGAAGAACTTGACCTCAAAAAATATGAAAATATAGTTATTATAAAGAAAATTTAAAAATTTAATTAATAGTTAACTTTAACTCTCCTATCTTCTATTCAACTCATATTACTTTATTCGTCTCATGAATTAATTCCAGAGTTGTTATCAAAGTGACTTTTCAATTTTTTATGTTGATTTAAACTACCTTCTGATCCATAAGATTTGCCGCACCAACACACGAATCTTCTCTCTATTTCATTTGCAGTTCTTCTGTACCTTTTTCTCTTATCGTAAGGAATATTGCCTGAGAATTATTGATCATATTCACTAGTGCCAACAGAAGAAGGTGGTTTTACTTAAGGATTTAAAGTCCTTATTTATGATGTTGATAGACTCTCTCTATTCGACAGCTGATTCTAATTTATCTAGCCATTCTAGTTTTAAGTATTCAAGGTATCAAATTATTTGAGATGTTGTTTGGTTAGTGATCTTTAATCGTATAGTCCTGCTTGTTCCACACCTCTGTTTGTTTGAAAAGGTTCTCTAGTAGTGAAAAATGGATTAGGATTATAAGGATTTGATAGTTGAAATGGCGGATTAGAATATCCTCTTTTATGAAAGTCATTTCCTGATTCATTCTATAGAATTTCGTTGAAAGGAATGTATATTGTTTCTTACATCGAATTTGTACTTTATTTACTTGTTGTCTGAATCTAGGCGCTTTATTTCATCAAGAAGAGCAAGATTAGCTATCTATAACTTCTCGTATTATTGCTTGTAATTCACTCCTCCTTCTTATGGCGGTACTATTTGCAATATTAACCTTCCATTTAAATTACAATTCTTAAACTCAAATTTGAGAATATTTTCATTCTAGACCTATTGCTCTGCCATGACTTTCAGAGCCAACTCATCTTTTTGCGATAGGGCGTATTCATCTACGATTCTTCCCGATCTAAGATACTTTGTCTGCTACTTTATGATGGGTGTATAGAGTGCATCTAACTATTCCTAAAACTTTAGACCCTCATCCAAGGAATGCAGTAATTTTGCATGAAAATTTGTCTAAAGTTAGTATTGCTTGAACTGTTAGGCCGTGTCAAGTCCAAATATTGAGAATTAAGAGTAAAAATTGTTAGGAATCTGCTTTTACTATATGTCTTTTTTTTCTTCCATTAATATTTACTTACAAATAATCTTAAAATTAATTCTGATTTTAAGTATTTAAGAGCAATGGGGTTTTGGGGTTTTGGGGTTTTGGGG